TTAATAGTTGAGGAACAGCAGAGTTAAAACCGTTTTTTTGCACTTTATTCTCAACTTTATCTCGACAACTCAGTTTTTTATTATTTTGAACTTTTTATTGGCTAACCAGTGTAATGAAAGCATTCACTTAACCACGTGAGTGATGTTGGAAGGTATTCTTATTTATTTGGCCATTCTCTTAGTTTTTCAGGTCTTCATACGCATGATCCCTGACGGCAGAATGGATGTAGGACTTATTACACAAAGGTATCTGTTTCAGTAACGGAAATGGAGAAGTGTTACAAAGTGAAGGTGCAATGTACGATTGAAAATTGCAGATAACCGCTTGTTCTATCCACTGCGGTAACTCGAATGGTTCTGCTGGGACTTCTTCAAAACATACTTTTTTTGCTATGCTAAACTTCTCTTTTTGTTTCCAAATTGATTTTTTCTGGTGAAGTAGTTCTGCAGTTGGACAAGAATTTTGTTTTGAAGAGAATAAGGTGAGAGCGTTGAGATTCATTCACTGTATTTGAAGCGGAATTTAGTTGATATCTTATTATTCCTTAGGCGTAGACGTTTGGTATCCTTATAAAGTGGCCACAAGCCTATTAGATTCTTCCCAAAGATATTGCTATCTTGGAGGTTTACGAGAAAAGCAGAAGTTTAACATACGGAGTAGATCTTCATTAATTAAACATCACTTTAGTTTAAAGCCGATTTGGGTCTTCAGATCTCGTTTCGTTTTTGGGTTGATTTCAAAGAAAGGTGTCAGGCTGAATTCACTATTAAGTCTAACTAAGCCGTCGCCTATTTTAACATTTGGGCAAAATTGACTGTTGGCATATTTCTTTATTTAATTTCGATTTTCGTTTTGGAATCAGATGAAGTATTTTAGTAACAGCAAGAACTCTATGACATAGCTAATGGGGCTTCGCTTCAAGTTTTTTGGACTCACTTTGAGGTTTCACGACTACTGTGCTCTGTTGATTGACGGCTACTTGGTTTATACAGCAAGTAATACTTTGTAATTCTTTTAGGATTACAATCGTCTACCATTGTTTCATTCTTTATCAAGACATTGAGATTCTATGGAAAAACTTTATTAATGAAACAGGAATTGGCTTGAATGAAGCAGAAAGAGCTTTAAGAAGCGTTTTAATACGCATGTACCTTTTGTAAAGCTTACTGTTTTATGTCTCTAGAGGACCACAGTTTTAAATGTTGTGGTATTGCACGAAGGCGTAATTGACAGGTTTTTTAAAATGGCAGTTCTTGAGGTATAGTTCCCATTCGGGCCACATTTGTCGTAGCTACTTCTAAGTAGATTAATTTAACCAGCAATTAACCAAGGAAACTTCATTTCTGACCTTATCCAGGTCTGAACTCTCCTTTTCACTACTGATTTGTCACAGCGGCAATCGGTTTATCGAATATTTGGAGGAGGAGAACGTTTTTGGAAGAATTGTCATTTGTTCATATAATTAATATCACTTTTAAGCATCCGTTTACTTTGATTTTTTTTTATCAAAATATGTTTAAAGGTGCCTTGTAAAACCGGTTCTTTGTCTTAGTCTGGGTAACTTAAACAGAAGGCGAAGTGTGGGAGGGACATACGTAACTTAAAAAGCAACCGTCCTTAACAGCTAAGCTTTTATTTATTTTAATATTTACTTTACCTTCTGAAAGCGACCATCCCTTTTAGCTATTATAGAGATTTAGCTGGTGGGAGTCTAAGACTCCTCTTTGAAGTAGTCATTTTATTGTCTATTTTATGTCGCAGTTTTAGTTTTTAATTTACACATGACTCTTTTTGTAGATCTTGTGACATTTCGCTTTCTCCCTGTCGTTTTGGCTATGAATGTATATTAGTTTGTTCCTCTTACTTTTCAAATTCCAGTTATACTCTTCAAGATACTATTACAGGAATCAGTTGTCTTCGAAACTCTGAGAAGAACTCAGATCTGCGATTAACCTTCAGTAAAGTCCTTGCAAATTTTGCATTAAAAAAATACAGTACTGTGGCAGTTCTTTAGATTTCAGACCAGTTTTGAGTTGAATGTTTGATCCTGTACGGCATGTAAATTTAAACAAAAATTACTCTTATCCAGTTCTAAGATCACTATTTGCTCATTTTGTAAATTCGAATGGATTGCTGTTTCTAGCGGAAGTTGGGTTCAACAATAAAGCTCGTTTTAACGACAATTTTTTTCGTGTTTTCTGGTTTTTGTCTTTCACATTGCATCAATGCTAAAAATGTGTGTGCAATAAAGTGTTTTCTTAGAACTAAAGATGCTTGTTGGTTTCAACGCCAAGCTGGGAATCTTAACAAACATCCCAAAGCAACAAAAGGAACCACTATATCATGCTAATTCTATAGGATACGAGAACTCCTGTATTTGGCAAACTTAGTAAATGCCAAGCTCCCTCTAACCAAATCAGAACGGCCAGACAGCTCACTTTTAGAGCAGCTTATAATTAATTACTTAATGCAGAAGACCTCCATGAACCATCGCAGGTTTTCAACTACTGTATAATATCCTTGTAAAAAATTGACAAGTAACTCAAAAAACACTTTACTCTTCTTAACCCAAATTTGAAGACTGTACATCTCATACCCTGAGCATTCTATTGATTATAAGCAGAACGAACATCCTGAACAAACTAAAACCCCAATTAAACCTTGGCAGGGTCATAGCAGGTTATAACCATGTCAAGCTTTTGCACTTTTAAGTCAACGGTTGTTTG